TATAGCATATTATGAGTTACGCATATAAAATCGTGTTGCGCTGCATAAAATAGTTACGGTATGATCATAATAATACGAATATTGCGACATGTCGTGACTTAAAACAAAATGTTACAGCAAGTTATAACTTAGTTACGATGCGACTTATCCCAATGCTCCGAGATTCTATGGCATCCCTAATATATATCTTAATGCTAAGAAGCAACTATAATGCAAGCCGAAATTTTTAATAGATTCCGAAAACTCATAAGCATTCCGGAAAATTCCCATGCGCATGATGCGTATCATGCATATGAAATTTGAAAAAATCGTGATTTGCACATCACTAGTAATGACGGAATAGTCATACATGGCAAATACGTAGAGCATTTATGTAAAAAGATAAACTGTACGCTTCCCGGCGTCCCACGGCGATCGTGCTCAGGGATTTTTTTTTTAAAAAAAATAAGTATAGTTCAAGAATGTTGTCAAATAATAATTGAAAATCTTGTGAAATCGAATTAAGTGTGTATAGTTTAGTCAAATGTTAATTGAAAATCTTGCGAAAATCGAATCAAATGTGTATAGTTTCAATTCTTTTCAAGAACTTTTTAAATAAGTGGCATTATGCAGGATGATTCATAACTTCCGAAACTTATACAGATCGAGGTTTGTTATATAATATAATGAAATCTGTAAATCTGGTTCCAATAGTTTTCAAGCAACAATGGATCAAACGCGTATATAAATTTATTAAAATTCGAATTTAACTAAAAATTGCAATCATCTGAAATAAAACAAATGGCTAATAACGATATGAAAAGAACGGATTTAAGTAGATGGCGACTAAAAGTTGATCGAGGAAGACAGACATGGCATTATTTAGATGAAGATGAGATTAAAAATTGTCCTCAATCTTTCATTGAAAAGTATTGGATTGGATTGCCTTTTGTAAGTCTTAATTATGTGGAAATTCATTAATTTTTACCGGGTGGTAATCAATAAAAATTTTTATCATTAATATCTGAATTCCGACTTAAAACTAATCTGAAAAAAAAAGGATTCGAAAACATTTCAAAAGCCAAAAACAGCTTTCGAAGCAGCTCAAAATGGGTTCGAATTTTTCAAACAATTACAAACTTCCGATGGTCATTGGGCATGTGAATATAGCGGACTGACGTTTTTGGCACCAATACTTATTATTACTATGTATATTACGCAAATTCCTATCCCCGAAGCTTGGAGAATAGAAATTATTAGATATTTGACAAATAAAGCAAATCCTATTGATGGAGGATGGGGGTTGTAAGTTTATTTTCCATCTTCTGTGATAGTATTTTTGCTTTTTGTGGGAAAATCATGATTTTTCAATTTATTAGGCATATCGAACATCACTCAACAGTATTTGGGACTACTTTGAGTTATATTGCGCTTCGTATCTTGGGTCTTGATCCAGATCATCCAGTGATGGTAAAGAGTAGAGCAACTTTGCACAAACTTGGTAAGTAGCTTAGCACCGACTTTATTTATGAATCTTGTATGAATTCACCAATACTTACATGCAAAACTCGAAACTAATAGGAGGCGCAATTGGAATTCCTTCATGGGGAAAATTTTGGTTGGCAAGTTTAAATGTATATGACTGGACAGGGCTTAATCCAATTCCACCAGAACTATGGTAATTTTCTCTCAAATACGTATATATATATATAAATATTATTTATTGCGTTATTAATTTCTTTTAATAAATGAAAAAGGCTTCTTCCAGATTATTTACCAATTCATCCGAGTCGTTATTATGTTCATAATCGTGCAGTATTCCTTCCAATGGGGTACTGTTATGGGCGTAGATTAAGTGCCAAAATTACTCCACTAATTGAGGAACTTAGGCAGGAACTATATGTTCAGCCATTTGAGACAATTAATTGGTCTAAAGCTCGAAATAATATTGCTATGGTTGACCTTTACGTTCCGCATACTAAATTATTAAAGTTATGCAATTGTATGTTTAATTTTTTATGAACTTGTTATTTAATAATTAAAATTGAGGAAATCTGATACATCATTATTTATAGATATGTTAAATCTTTATGAAAAACTTCCTGATTTTCTTCAACTTCGAGATATTGCTGCTCAAAAGTGTTACGAATTAATTACACTTGAAAATGAAAATACTAATTATATTAATATTGGTCCCGTAAATATTAATTTTTATATTTTATATGTACATGCCTTTCCTATTTGTTCATAACATTTAGCCTTGAGGGTTTTTCTTTTTAAATTAATAGGTCGCCAAAGCCTTGTATGTTCTTTGTACATACTACTTGGAAGGGCCTGATTCTGAAGCATTCAAACTGCACAAAGAAAGAATAATTGATTATATGTGGTATGAACATCTTAGTTTTTTTAAATATTTTTAAAATTTATTTCTTAAAATTGATATTAAAAATTTATTATATTTCATGTGTAGGTTAGGTTCGGAAGGAATTATGATGGGTGTTACAAATGGCTCTCAAACTTGGGATACTGGAATTGCAGTTCTTGCTGCAATTGAAACAGGTAGCAATTACATCTTTATTAAATTTGAGGTTAATTATTAAATTTATTAATATTTTGTTATTTCAAATAGGACTTGCAGATGATCCATTAAATCATCAGTCAATGATACATGCACTTGAGTTTTTAGATGATACACAAATTAAAAAAAATCCTAAAGATTCTAAAAAAATGTTATCGGGATAACACAATAGGCACTTGGCCTTTTACTAGTAGTGAAAATGGATATCATGTTTCTGATTGTTGTGGTTTAGGTCTCGAAGCTGTACTTAATCTTCAAAACAAACTTAAGTAAGTTTTCTATGTAAACTTTTAATATTTAAAGCCAATGATTGAAAAATATTTTTCGGTTATATTTTTTATATAAAATAGTTACACACCAAAGTTAGTACCTAAAGAACGACTTTGTCAGACCATTGACATATTATTAACCATGCAAAATTCTGATGGTGGGTTTTCGAGTTATGAGCGTATTAGAGGTCCAAAAATTATGGAATGGTTAAATCCTGCAGAAATTTTTAGCGATGTAATGATTGAGCATAATTACCCGGAATGTACATCTAGTGTTCTAAATGGTTTACATACTTTCCGAAAATGGTATCCGGATTATAGGGCTACTGAGATAGAGTAATTTTTTTTCTTTGTAAAATTTATAAATATGTGATTTATTTATATATTAACTCCTCTATTGTTAGACAAGTTACCAAAAGAGCAATTCAATACCTATATAATTCTCAAGATGAAAATGGTGGTTGGTATGGATCTTGGGCTATTTGTTTCACGTATGCTACTATGTTTGTTATGCAATGTCTGAAAAATTATGGAGAAACATACGAAAATAGGTATTATATCCAAAAATTAATCTTGAGACACGGAAGAAATAAGTTATCTTATTAACTAAATATGCTTAATAGCCACGTAGTTAAAAAAGGATGTGACTTTTTAATTTCCAAACAAAAAGAAGATGGTGGTTGGGGTGAATCTTATAAAGTTCATATCATTATATTAATGTTTATTATGTTTATCATATTTAAGATTATTAATTTTTTTATTTTGCTTTTTTTTGTAAATAGTCATGTGATGCAGAAACTTATGTACAACATGAAAACTCACAAGTCGTAAACACAGCTTTTGCATTGCTTGCTTTAATGGCAAGCAAATACCCAAATGAGGAGCCTATTCGACGCGGTATACAGGTATATAAGGATTTTTACTAAAAGTGCAGCACACACTTTTTTTAATAAAGAATTAGTATTAATATGTTTATATAATTATATAAATTAAAACCATCTTTTTGCAGCTTATTGTATCACGACAATTGCCAACTGGAGAATGGAAACCAGAATCTATAGAAGGAGTATTTAGTAAAAATGCTGCAATTTGTTATCCAAGTTATAAATTTAGTTTTACCATTTGGGCATTAGGCATGTACGCCAAAATTTATAACAATCCTATAATTTTTTAAAAAATGCTTCGAACATTTTTGGATTGTTGAAGTTTTTACAATTGTGTTTTTAAACAATCATATCCTTTTAATTAATAATAATGCTGCTAGAAATTTTATTTTTATATATAATAAAGTATTAATATACACTCCGCCCTCGTTATAACGGGCTGTCCGTTATAATAAAAATCCATTATCACATTATAATGGATTTATTAATATACATATTCTATAATCCGCTATAGTGTAATAGCGGTTTTACTTGTAAGGTTATATATAATCCGATATAATAGGTTCATAATATTTCGAGTTAGAAATATAAATACATATAGTTGAGAATTTATGTGTAGTTTAATCCAAGTTATGGATATTGTCAGACCTCTCAACCTTCCTAAATGCATCCTATGAAAAACCTCTCTAAATACATGCCTTCACATGGGCCCAACTAATATAAAGCTACACAAAGTCATGTTTTACATTACACGGCATTCGAAATTTCGATCGGGCGGTCGGATTTTTTTTTTTTTTATTAATAGACTAAATTTTCATGTAGCCAAAGTCTTTAATTTCTAAGGCTTTCTTGAAAAAGAATTTTGCTTGTTCAGATGATTTCAAGTTCTTTAATTAACTTTCGAATCAGTTAAATCTTAAGGCATTACAAAACTATGTTGAGTTCAAACCTATCGGTAATTTACCAGGTACAAGAATGACTTGTAACTGTAATAGCTATGTACTGTACTAAGTCGTTATCATTTTAAAATTGAAATCAGTTCCCTAAATAACACAAATTGATAAAATCGGCAAAAAATAGGAATACTAATAGAATGATTTATCTTTATGTCAAAGATTGCTATCAATATGAAACTAGAAAAGGTGGACCCGAGATTTACATTTTTATCGTAGACCTAATTTTATGTAACTTCCAAAAATTATTTGTACATGGTGTCCACGCTAATTTGTAAACCTTTAGGTCTAATGCTAACCTGAAACTTCCAATCAGATGAGATGATCATATATAACTCAAACAATCAACAATCTACATTATGATATTTTAAGATCCGGAAATAATTTTACTTTGCAAATGATCGTTCACCGTGCGATAATATTTCGATAATCTTGCTATTTATAGCATTCATTTAAACCAAATTGAA